CTAAAGAGCCAAGAAATTTGGCAACAATGTAAGAAAACATTTAGGGGAGGAAGAAAACAGATAGCCAGTGGTATACATGGTTTAAATGCATAAGAACACAAAAAAATCTATTTTGGATCAGACTAAAAATCCACTTAGTCCATCCTGTTTCCCACAACAGGACCTGAGCCTAAAATGGAGGGGCTGACAGCATTGGCACCCTAAGGGCCTTGCTTCCCTCATAGCCACAGCCTTGGATTCAAACAGAAATCGAACATCACTCTGACTCTCTCTCCAGCTTGCTGCTTTTTCCTCTAACTCACATCACTGCAACACTCTCTGCCCTCAACTCTGGCTTTGTCTTTTTAACTACCTGCCAGTTGAGGGAGAGGACTCACACATTTCTTTGTTCCCTTAATGGCCCATCACCCACAAGATCCCCACATCAGGAAACTAGTGTGGCTCTTGGCATACAGTCTACTCCAGGGGTCAGCAAACTCTTTCAGCAGGGGGCCGGTCCACTGTCCCTCAGACCTTGTGGGGGGCCAGACTATATTTGGGGGGAGGAATGAATGAATTCCTATGCCCCCAAATAACCCAGAGATGCATTTTAAATAAAAGGATACATTCTACTCATGTAAAAACATGCTGATTCCCGGACTGTCCATGGGCTGGATTGAGAAGGTGATTGGGCCGGATCCAGCCCCTGGGCCTTAGTTTGCCTACCCATGGTCTACTCCTTTCCCCCAAACTCATAACCATATAATTTCTGAGGTGAGGAAACCAGAAGAGTATGTAGCACTCCAAATGTGTCCCTACTATAGATTTGCATTATGATATTGTCAATTTTATTCTCAGTCCCTTTCCTAATGATCCCTAGCATGGAATTTACCTTCATCACAACAGCTGCTGCATACTGAGTTGATATTTGCATGCTTCTCTGGCATGCTCTTATTATATGTACTGATCACATCCATGTGATATTACTGAATCTCTTGAGCCTGAAACAACACTCTCTCCCCTCCAATCCCCAAAGAAAACAAATTAGCAAAAGAAAGTATCAAACAGCACACCCCTACACATATCTACATACTCAAAAGTCCCATTGTACTCATTGGGGCTTACACTCAGTTATAACTGTGTGTAAGTTTGCAGCCTAAAGGGTGGAAGAGTACATATTAACATTAGGAAAAATCAAAGGCTCCAATAATGAAGAAAGCAAGGAAGAACACCAGCTAGTATGTGAGACGTTGACATTTGTCAAAAAAGATTGCAGGAAGGTCGGCTGGGTACAAATGTCCACATCGAGATAACAAGAAACAGAACACCAGTTAGAGACAGTCAGTATTGGAAGATGATATCAGATACAGAGTGCAGTCTAGCTCTTCAGCATTGGGTAGGGACTGATGCCAAGGGCTGGAGGGGAGGGTGATAGGCTATTCTGCTTCCCAGGGTGCTACCAGATAGAACAGATGTTTCTCATGCACATAACCTCTTTCCAGTATCCAGAATACATTGCTTGCATAAAAGGCCAAGCCTGCATGAGTTCTGGATTTAACTTTCTGGGGGAAATCCGTTAAGTTTAAACAAACAAACAAACAAACAAACAAACAACTGTTGCCAACGATCCATTTACAATATTAAGCCTTCATTTCAAAGCACCCCAAGTTACACCCAGCGGATGAGCAGAGGTATTTCAAATTCTACTCAAATTCAAATGAGATTGCAGAGAAGATGGATGGTGTGGTTTTTTTGCATCCAGACTTTACAGTGGAAGATGTAGGGCTGTGCCTGGACTAACTTTCTCAGGAAGAGAGTCAGAGGAACTGGGGAAATATTGGTGACAAGAAGCTTTATTAACAAATTAAAAACTGACTCTTTGCCAGGTCTAGATGGTATTGACCTAAGATTTCTTAAAGAACTAAAATGTGAAATTGCTTATCTCTAACAAATATATATAACTTGTCTCCAAGATCAGCCTCTATACCTGACGGCTGGAGGAAATTGGCAATGGAACACCAGTTTGTTTTAAAATAGAAAAAGACACCTAGAAGAGATCCAGGAAATTACAGGCTGGTTAGCATAAAGTCTGTTTCAGGAAATCTGGTGGAAAGCATTATTATACAGTATATAGAATTAGCAAGCACATAGAAGAACCAGTATGGCTTCTGCAAGGTACTTGCTAACCTTTTAGAGTTATTTTGAGAATGTCACCAACCATATAGATAGAGGTGAGGCAGTTGGCATTGTGTACTTGAATTTTCAAAAAGCTTTTGGTAAATTACCTCACCATAGACTCCAGAGTAAGCTTAGCAGTCATGGAATAACAGAAGAGGTCATCTTATGGATCAATAACTAGTTATGGAACCAGAAGAGAGTAACTAGGTAGTTCTCCCTATGGATGGATGCAGAAAGTTGAGACATTGAGATATGTCCTTTTAAACTTGTTCATTAATGATCTAGAGTTAGGGGTGAGCAGTGAGGTAGCCAGGTTTGCCGATAACACCAAATGGTTCATGAAGGATATTATAAAAAGTGATTGCAATAATCTCTGCAAAGTGGGCAAACGGGCAGTAAAATGGCAAGTGTGTAATTCAAATGTAAGCAAGCGTAAAGTGATGCACGCTATTGCTCCTTCGATATGTTGTGAGCCACTTCGGCCACAGTTTTGAGGGTAAGCGGCATACAAATTCAAATGAACGGTAAGTTCAGTGGAGTTTACTCCCAAGTATTTTTAGCAGGGGTGCACAAGAGCCACATTCTATCATGGACAACCTTTGGTGGCCACATGCAAGTGGTGCATGGCGCCAGAGGCAAAAGTGAGTCCTGCAATGGTTGTTACTCTAACCTTTGCACAGTAACTTACATTTCAGCTATAATACATGCTTGAGGCTCCTCTCCAATCTCCATCTGGATAAGTAAGAGGCATTACCGCAGTTCAAGAACTCATTCCAGCCAGGCAAAAACTCTTGAGAAGGGCACAGAGCAGAGGTGTGGACAGGGGATAGCTAGCCTGTGTGTTGGTGTGGCCTGGAGAGTGTCTTAAGAGAGCTCCAGAGGGCCTGAGAGATTCTCTACCCCTGGAGTATAAAACTGAAGCCCATTTCCAGGGAAGGACCTGGCAACCCTTAAGTGTCATGGAAATGAGTTGGCAAAGAAAGATTCTAGAAATCATCAAATGGCACTGTTCATTTTCATTACTGTGAAGGTATCTGGATTTGGCTCAAAAGGGAGGCAGTAATAGAAAGAAGCTTGGATGAACACTGGTTTGGTCACATTACAAACATGGATAAGCCAGAGAGCCTGACTGGTAGGCAAGAGAGGATGAAAAAGGCCAAACGAATATGGACTGAGATAGAGGGATTGATAGAGCAAAGCTAGTCAGGAATTGGCAAGTACCCTGTTTATGTTAAAAGGACAGATGGTCATAATGATGATTTCATTCTTTTCACAAATGTATTTTCTAATGCTTCAGGATAATAGCCAAGCTATCTATGCATTTGTGGTTATGAGACCAAGATTTTAAAGAAAGGTCAATTTTCCTTTTAAGGGGGTATTTTTACTTTCCTGAGGGTGTCTCCTGTTAGTTGTCGCTGTAAAAAGGGCATTGCATTGCTAGAATTATCCAATCCAGAATGTCAATTGTTATGTTGATCTAGCTAGACATATTCTGCATGCTTCAAGTTCCCATATATTTCCCAGCTGGTGTTCCTGATATTTTTGGATTTGGTCTACAGAGAGCTTCAGCATTGTCAGACAAGCCCTTCACTCTGAGTGTCCCCTGCAAACAATAAAAGATCACACTATGTGATCAGAAGATTAACTTGCTATAGTGCCAGCTCCTTAGAATGCAGATGCACCCTCCATCCGAGCAGTGTGCATGTTGATCAGAAAGGGGGGAAAGGAACACCAGTGAATTTTATTGACAAAAACAGAACTACTGCTATATAAATTCTAAAGGTCAAGATGTAGCATCTGAAAAGCAGGAATTGAATTTGTTTCTGTATGACAACAATTTCTGTCAGATTTTGTTCTGAGAAAGCTACATTAATCCCCATGATGGTTGATCATGGGGTGTGTGTGTGTGTGTGTGTACACACACACACATACACATGCACAAATATATATATATATCTCGATCGTATGTCCCACAAAGGGAAGTTCTACTGCAACTTTTTGTATATGATATTTCCCAGTTATCAGGACAAGCACTTTGGCCTCAGTCATTTATTCAGTTTATGGTCTTAACTGGGGCTCTGTGGTACATACTCCCTGGTCTTTTCGCTGCATGCAAAGTTACTGTCATCTGATTATCACTAGTCAGGGTATCAAGGGCCTTATTCCCAGCTGAAGGAAACTGACAGTCTGAGAGAGGCAGGAGGAGCAAGGGAGATGTTTGCATATGACTGTACAATATGTTGGCTTGGTATGAGAGTTGGTATGAGGGCCAAGTATGGCATAGAAAAGAGAAAGTAGTAGGCATTCAGAACGCACCTCAGTTTAACACCATAACTGCTCCTTGGGAGCCTTCAGGGCTGTCAAATCGGAGGTGGCTGTCAAATATGGAGGTGATTTTGGCTCTGCACGCGGTAGGTTGTCTTGTCCTCTTGCCCAACAGAAACGGGCGTATTCCTAAGTTTTCCCTTAACTTGGCCAAATAGCCCTTTGGGCGTTTAAGGGGGGGGCAGTAATCGACGTGGGTGCAACATGTTAAACCACCCTTCCTTGCGCGGCCCCCATCCAACTATCCCTGCCCCTCCGTGGCTGCTTTTGAAACACACTTGCGACGCATTTATATAAAGGCCAAACGTACATGCTGAACCAAACATAGTACCAGAACCTCAGCCAGTTCTACGTGGGCGATCATTTCTGGCCGCCCTTTGAGAACACGAACCCATCGCCCTCGGTCCTTCGCCGGCTCCTTCCTCTCTCCACCTTGTCCGTGCGCTTTCACACGCAAACACACACACACACACACACAGAGAGAGAGAGAGAGAGAGAGGGAGAGAGGGAGGGAAGGAGGGAGAGAGAAGCGCCTTTGGAGCAAAGCAACTCAGCTCTGGCGTCTGTGTGTGTGTTCGCGAGAGAGGAAACCCTGAATTTCTTCAACTGTTTCGCCCTTAAACTTGGTGGGGGACTGGGGGTAGGGGGATCCGCTTTAGGAAAGACTTCCTGACCCTCGCAGGGCGCACCCCAGTCGGTTATATCGGACGACGAGCTTCCCCTGGAGATTGTTATTATTGATAGTACTGGCAATTTGTTCAGGGGACACCACGTGTGCGGTGGCGCGGCGCCTCGGAGGTGGGCTTGCACACAGCACGGCGACATCGTGCGATCCGGAGTCACCCCCCCCCCCGGCTCCTTTCCAACAGCAGCAGCCACCCACTCCCGCCACCCAGCACCACCCAGCTTGCCTGGCGGCGCGCGGGCTGGGCTGCGAGGAGAGGGGAGGTGCTGGCTCAGGCTCCGTCTCTTCTCCCTCCTCTTCGATCCCCTTTCCCTGCGGGAGCGAGCGCTTTGCAAGGACAACGAAGGCTCTCGAGTGCGGGGCGGACGAGGCGAAAACACCCGCCCCCCTTCCCTGCCCCGCGGTAAAGCCGGGCAGAAGCGCCCAGCAGCCAGCCAGCCAGCAGCCCCGGCCGCTCCATCGCCCTTTCTCCGCCAGGAGGCATGAGCACCTGCGACGCCAAGGAGTATCTGGCCAAGAGGGAGATCCCGCAGCTTTTCGAGGTAAAAACCCTCCTCGCCAGCCGGTGGACCCCGGCAGGCGCTCACCTCTCGCCTCTGGACCCTGGGCGGAGCAAGTTCCCCCGAAGTCTAGGGGAGACTCACAGGATGGGGGGGGGCGAGGCTGTGGGATCTAGGGCAAGGTGGGAGCGCACGGAGCAAGGGCAGCTGCCCGGCATATTGAAGGGGCAAGGCTTGTTTCGAAGGGAGGAATGTCACTTACTCCAGACTTCGCCTCTGACCTCTTTCGCCTTCTTCCTGCACAGTTTTCCAAGATCTAAAACGATGGTTGCGGTCTTTTGCACCCTTCCATAGTACCGGCTGGGCATCCGTGATTTGGGAGACATACGAGACCCTACAGGCAGAGAGGGGAATTGGGGTAGTTAGTACGGCAGGGGGAAAGGCATCCTCCTACCCCTGTCTGCTTGTTTTGGGTACCCAAAGAGATGCCTTCGCTTACAGAGCAGATTGTGCATCTTCTCAGCCCCCTGCCTGATTCTGCGGAGCAGAGAGGAGTTAACGTTGTCCTCCCACTCTACTTTTAATGGATCTGGAAGCTTTCTTGCCTCCGGTTGCCTTGGCTCCTCTAGCTGCTTGTAAGGCAGCATTGATCCGACCTTGTGAGATGTGAATATGTGTGGAATTGGTGATCAGAAAAGCAGGAGGCAGGAATGTGTCATCTCCCATGGCATTCTCTGAAAGCTCTACATACCTTGACTCCAGGGTGAATGGATGGAGCAGTCAGTGGAGATGCTGCTGCAGTTTATTTTCTCCTAGGCTGCATGCCTCATGCAGCCATGAATGCTGCTTCCTGTGATCAAAACTGTGATATATAAAAGGGAACATGATTGGGTAGCTAAAGTGAAAAGACAAAGTCAGTTGCTTGTGCTGCTTGAGCCCTAAAGGGATTTGGTCTCAAGCATGTTCATCTGAACATTTTGGCACACTTAGGGTCCCAGTCTCTATTCCAAAGAGTATTTTCATTGTCATTGCGTCAAATCTGTTTAATGAGAATTTTTAACCATAACATAAATTCTCCCTTCCCTCTGCTGGTGTTTTCATTTGTCTCATGGAATTCTTACTTTAGGGGATTCTCTAAGAAATGTTTCTTTCTTTTCAGCAAATGACTGAAAATACCTAAGATGAATTTGTGAGTTATTTAAATGATTAAATGGGTTAATTATAATTAACCCACTTGTAGTATCTGAACATAACAGTAAATTACAAATGCTACATGCAGAGAAGTTTAGAAAACTGTAATTTTTTTTATACAAACACTATTTTTGTGTATTCAGTTATAGATTATAAATAGTAAAATTATTGATAGAATAGTTTTGGGGAGTGCAGTCCTATACATGTCCACTCAGAAAGTAGCTCCATTGAATTCAATGGAAAGTGTGTATAATAGTCAAGCTAACACCCTAATCGTTTCAAGGTGCCTATGATATTGCTATGCTATCGTTATGTTATTAATCATTATACAACATATCTAATATCTAAATGCCTTACAATCTATATTCTTGCTTGTTGTCACAAAAAAATCAGTATGATAGGTCACTCTTACTCCCATTTAAGCGTTATAAACATGAGGCAGTGGGATTACATGGGAGCTTTTGATGTTTGATACAGAAGGACTAAATTTGTGCCAGGACAACATAGTTTCTGCTGCAATTAAAAAGGTGATTCTGCTATGTACATTAATTCATGCAAATGAAGGACATTTTGATATATTTGCTTATTTTGCAAATATCCACTCATTATTTGTTCTCCCTTCTGGTCATAGAGAAGAGTGAGAAACTAAGTAAGGCTCTACAGACTTGCCCAATAGTTATCTTGCTCAATTGTCTTACTAGTCACCTATGCTTCTGATGTTTCACTACACTTCCCCTACACTTTCTCTACTGTTTTCAAAGCTGTAAGACACAGGTGGGGAACCCAAGATCTGATCTCATACAGGTAGGAGTGGAGGGAGCCTTAGGTGGGAGAGAAGGGAAGTAGGGATGGGAAATGGGAAAGCAGAAATAAATAGAAGGATGGAAGGAGGAGGGAGCTATTAGCGTAGACCTTTGGCAAGAATGGTATGTTCTTCCTTTGGCATCCTGTTGTGCTGGGATGAAGAAGGGAGGGATGGGGAGACTATTCCCCTCCACACACTGCTGTAAGGGCTGGAAACTTTTAAAAACCAATACAAACAGGGACATTGACAGGATGTTGACTTTTACACTGAACAGCAGAATGTGCACAGGTTTGTTCATAATAGCATGAATTGTTATACAGATTTGACATAATAATTTGACAAGTTGCATTGTAGCAATCAAACAGTTTTGCCTGATATGTGTGTGTGCTCTTTCCCCTCCATCCCTTTCCCCATTTTATTTTCTGCAACATACCAACTTCTTATATAATAATAATAATAATAATAAATTTTATTTATATCCCGCCCTCCCCAGCCGAGCCGGGCTCAGGGCGGCTAACAACAGTCAAATAACAATCAAATAATAGCACATTCTAAAAATATTTCGTTATAAAAATTAGTTAAAATCAAATTGATGGCAACCGATTAAACAAAATTCTGTGCAGGTTGCCGGAGGAGGGAGTCAGGCTGCGCCCTGACCAAAAGCTTGGCGGAACAACTCTGTCTTGCAGGCCCTGCGGAAAGATGTCAGATCCCGCAGGGCCCTAGTCTCTTGTGACAGAGCATTCCACCAGGTTGGAGCTGCAGCCGAGAAGGCCCTGGCTCTAGTTGAGGCCAGCCTAACCTCTCTGAGGCCTGGGACCTTGAGGGTGTTATTATTTGTAGACCGTAGGTTTCTCTGTGGGGCATACCAGGAGAGGCGGTCCCATAGGTACGAGGGTCCTAGGCCGTATAGGGCTTTAAAGGTTAAAACCAGCACCTTAAACCTGATCCTGTACTCCACCGGGAGCCAGTGCAGCTGGTATAGCACCGGATGAATGTGATCCCGCAGCGAAGACCCCGTAAGGAGTCTCGCTGCGGCATTCTGCACCCGCTGGAGTTTCTGGGTCAGTCTCAAGGGCAGCCCCACGTAAAGCGAGTTACAATAATCCAGTCTGGAGGTGACCGTCGCATGGATCACAGTGGCTAGGTCAGGGCGAGAGAGATAAGGGGCCAACTGCTTAGCCTGGCGGAGATGGAAAAATGCCGCCTTTGTTATAGCTGTAATCTGCGCCTCCATAGAAAGGGAGGTATCGAAGATTACACCCAAACTCTTAACGGACGGTGCTGGCACTAATTGCACCCCCGCAAGAGATGGGAGTTGCCCCCTCGATCCCATATCGTCCCGCCCCAGCCAGAGGACCTCTGTCTTCGAAGGATTTAACTTCAACCGGCTCCCACGTAACCATCCAGCCACAGCTTCCAGACATCTGGTCAGTGTGTCTGGGGCCGGGTTAGGATGGCCATCCATCAACAGATAGAGTTGGGTGTCATCAGCATACTGGTGGCAACCCAGCCCAAAACTCCGGACAAGCTGGGCGAGGGGGCGCATAAAGATGTTAAAAAGCATCGGGGAGAGAATCGCACCCTGAGGCACTCCACACACCAAGGAGTGACGCGATGACAATTCCCCCCAAGCGCCACCCTCTGTCCCCGATCAGAGAGAAACGAGCGCAGCCATTGAAGGACTGTGCCCTGGATCCCCACGTCGGCAAGGCGGTGGTCCAGGAGTTCGTGATCCACCATGTCAAAGGCTGCTGACAGATCTAGAAGAATCAGCAGCCCCGACCCGCCTCGATCCAGCTGCCTGCGGAGATCATCTGTTAGGGCGACCAGAGCCGTCTCGGTCCCATGACCAGCACGGAAGCCGGACTGGAATGGATCCAAAGCAGATGTTTCATCCAGAAACCTACCAAGCTGTTCAGCAACCGCTCTCTCAATCACCTTACCCAGGAATGGAAGATTCGAGACCGGGCGGTAATTGGATAGATCTAAGGGATCTAACGATGTTTTCTTTAAGAGCGGACGCACCACCGCCTCCTTCAATTCCCCTGGGAATATCCCGGTGCCAAGGGACAAATTGATGATATCCCCCAGGGGGGCCCGCACCTCGTCTGGACACGCTCTAATCAGCCATGACGGGCACGGGTCAAGAGGACAGGTGGTGGGCTTTCCAGCTTGGAGGAATCTGTCCACATCGGCTGGAGATATCCGGTCAAAGTGGTCCAATACTGGACCCGAGGACAGTCGAGGGGCCTCCAGTTCCTTTATTGTATCCAAATTGGCAGGGAGGTCATGGCGGAGCAACAGGACCTTCTCCACAAAAAAGCTCGCAAATGCCTCACAGCTGTGTGTCCGATTGTTATTTAAATTTGGCTGTCCTTCAAGGGACGTTAATGACCGGATTATACTAAATAATTGCGCCGGGCGAGAGCTAGCGGATGCAATGGAGGCCGAGAAGTAAGACTTCTTAGCGGCCTTCACTGCCATCTCATAGGTTTTCATAAAAACCCTATAAGATGTTCTTGAGGCTCCGTCACGGGCACCCCGCCATACTCGCTCTAGCCGTCTGAGGTCCCGCTTCATTTTCCGAAGCTCCTCGGTAAACCAGGGAGCCCGGTTTCTGCGGGGTCGCAGAGGGCGCTTAGGTGCGATCTCATCGATGGCTGCCAGGAGCTGGGTATTCCAGCCCTCAACAAGCTCAGTCAATGAGTCGCCAGGGGGAGCAAGGTCCCGCAAGGCTTGACGGAATCTATCAGGGTCCATCAGCCTCTGCGGGCGAGCCCAAATCGGCTCGCCACCTAAGCAGGGTGGGGGTGGAAAGTCAATCCTGGCTTTCAGAGCGTAGTGATCAGACCATGGCACCTTCATCGAGGGAGACATGATCACATCTATACCGGCGCCAAAGATCAAATCCAGCGTGTGGCCTGCTTGATGTGTGGGGCCCGAAACAAACTGGGAGAGCCCTAGTGTCGCCATGGAAGACACCAGGTCCAGAGCCTGTGAGGAGGGAGTGGCATCAGCATGGATGTTGAAGTCCCCCAATACCAATAGGTTAGGGAACTCCAAGGCCCAGCCGGCCACCGCCTCCAATAGGCCTGACAGGGTGGCTGCTGGTGCGCTAGGTGGCCGGTACACCAGCCAGACAGCCAAGCTCTCCTCGGAGCCCCACACTAGGCCAACACATTCAATGCCGGGGATCGATGGCGATGGCAGAGCCCTGAAAGAACAGTCTTCTCGGATTAATAATGCCACCCCTCCCCCCCGGCCCACAGTCCGCGACTGGTGGAGGACGGAGAAATGCAAGCTGGTTCCATAGTGGAGGAGGATGTTAATCAATGACGCAAGTTAAAACTTTTTTTTAAATTCAGTTTTTAAAATTCCCTTTGATTAGCATCATGCCCCCACGTTTTGAATTTGTTGCCCAGGATATAATATATCTCTCTGCTGGCAGCTGTCATCTGGAGATTTGAAGCAACTCTCATCTCACTGTACCATCTGAATTGAGAAAGACAGTCTAAGTGGTGAATTGACGTCTGCAGACACTCATGGTCTAGATGTGGGTCAATAATCTAAAACTTGAATCCAAACATGAATTTTGTTTGGGGTGGGGGGCAGCCTCAAGACCAGGAATTGGTAGGACAGGCTGTTCTAGACAGGCATTCCCCTTGGAGGAACAGATGCATAGTATGGGGGTACTTGTGGGGTCGTCATTGTTACCTGAAGCCCAGGTGACCTCAGTGGCTAAAAGTGCTTATACTCAGTGTCAACAAGTGTGCCGCAGTTATCTACACACAGGTAACTTGTAGTTTAGACTATTGTAATATGTTTTATGCAGGGCTGCCCTTGAAAATGGTCCCAAAGTTGCAACTGATGCAAAACACAGTAGGTAACATATTATTGGGTGCCCTAGAGCCCTTGCAAGTACCATCAACCTGGAAACAATTGTACTGATTACCTGTTTGTCTTCTGGGCAGACAGAAGGCAGGACAGCAAAAGGAAAAGTAGGCTCCCTGGGGAGCAAGAAGGGAATATGAGAGAAAGGGGGGCAAATATACAGATTATTATTATTATTAGATGGCTTTCACACAAAATGTGTCTCAAAGGAACCTGCAAATTAAGCTACAAATAATATCAAAGGCATTAAAACCACATTTTAAAAGTCATAAATGAGAGACTATCTTAAAAAGGTAATGCATCCATGTTATTTATTTATTTAAAGGCTTTTGTAAGCCACTTAATATTTTAAAAATCTCTAAGCAGGGACAAATCCTACCCACCCCACTACAAGCATTACAGATAGGCCAATGCGCTCCACATTAACAACCAAATGCCTGGGTAAACATAAATGTTTCAGCCTGGTGTCTAAAACAGACAGTGATAGTACCAGGTGTGCTTCCCTGGGGAATGCATTCCCCAAATGGGGAGCCACCACTGAAAAGGCCTGTTCTCATGTTGCCACCCTTCAGTTACCAGCATGTAGACAACAGAGGTTAGGCTAAGCCTGTCTAGATAGGCTTGCAGCTGAATCACTAGCTAAAACTGATGGAAGACAATTTGCACCATCTAGGCTACTTGTGCCCAGAATGACAGTAGTGGATGCAGAAGTAGTCCCAGGCTTTGCACCTGCTCCTGTAGTTGGAGAGCACACCCACCACCACACCTGCAAATGTAAAGGAGAAATAGAGCTGCATGTCATCAGTATATTGCTGACAGTACATCCCAGATCTCCATATGACCCCACTCATCCCCCATTTTTATCAGTCATGAGAAGCAAGGTGCACAGCTCATTGTCCAAACCAAGCACCTGGTCTAGCTGTACTAACTGAAACTCATCCAACACAACAGGGCTAAGGAATGCTTTGGATCCCTTTTAGATCCATCTGCTTAAAACCAGAGTTGAGGTCCCGGCAGATGCAAACAATTTTATCCTCAAAATGCTTTGCAAACAAGTCACAGCAGGCCACTGTGTATTCTGCACCTCCTTTGGACCAGAATGTTCTGATGGCAGACCATCCTAATAGGCCCTCACCTCTGTGGTGGGGGAAAGCTGCTGAAAGCCTAAATCTCAGCTGGAGTAGATCCAACCCAACCATGAAAAAGGACTGATGTTGCAGTCCCACCCACGGTGAGACCCACCTTGCCAGAATTCAAATTGCTGGCTGGCGGGATCTCCTGTCACACCATGCAGCCGGCCAGAGATTTCCCAACTGCTGGATCCCAGCCAGATGTTGCTCCTGGGGTGCTTGGGCCCCAGCACTGCTGGCCCACAACCACTGCCCACCCCCATACCATGGGAGTGGCCATTACTATCCCAGATTACGCACTTTCTGCCCATTACAGACAAGCAGATTTAGAGTGTGGCCTACCACATGCCTTGGGCTGATCTTTATTTGTTATACACAAGATACACCATAGTTATATCTTATGCAGTGTTTATGGGACAGATATATTCTTTGTACATATGAGAAGACGTTTTGAACTTTAAAGTGCAAACTGTTCTTTTGAACTATTCCAAAGAGGCTTATTGTGATACCGCCCCTTTAAGACTGGTTTATGGGAATGGGTTAGAACCTCAGAAATAATGAGCTTACATACAGCTGTCTTCCGATAAGGCTTCAAGGCCGGTGTCACAAGGTAATTGGGTGGTCTAAGTTCCCATAAACCTGGATTGGTGGGAGCTCTTGGCAGCCAGCCAAACCGAGGTCCGCATCTATTTGGGCTTTTGACAGCATCTTGTTCTGTTGCTCAGCCTAGTGAGATTTAAGTGTAAGCGTTTGTTAATTAGTTGGATAAGTTAGTGTTTGTTGTCTTCTTACCTTCTGAGCTATTTTTATCTGTGTAATTATTTACCTTTATCAGTGTAATTATTTCTACAAGAGAGGTTTTCTCATAGGGTTTTGTTTTAGTAAAGTTGGTATATGATTTTATGAAATTTGGTCTGGTCTGAGTTCCTGAACACTTTAATTTTGACCATGCTTTTCGGACCAAGGCTGCTACAGTGCTATGAGTAAACCTGCCAGCTTCAGTTTTGAGGCTACAGCAGTTTATCTCTACTTCACAAAACTGTAACAGTACAGCAGTTATGTAAAGTGGTTGTTTAACAAAGATGCCACATCATAAAAATGTATTAGGTTCTTCGGGTCACATATTTCTGGAGTTGCACATTTTTCTCTGTGTGGAATTACAGAGCACACACATTTACCATGGAGTCTTTGTTTACTATGACAAATAGTGTGATTTACAAGGAGTTTACACATCTGTTCAATTGGACAAATTGGCCTTATGTGAAAATATGTCAGTAATACGCAACAGTTTAATTATTTTACATCATGGTGACTTGAGCAAAATAAATCTGGGCTTACTGATCACTTCTCACTGTTTACTGTACACAGCGGGGATGTTTATATTTCAAGAACACCCTGTAGTTGTGATTTTAAACATACTTAGACCATTCAAACATTCAAGAAAAGATTTTGGCACTATCCACCACGACCATATTGCTTTGGAATGCAAATAAGGAATCATGTAATTGAACTATCTCTCAAATCAGAAAGCCCCTGCATGTGGAATATTTACCCGATTGGGAAGATAATGAACCTATTCATTAACGTATTTATAATCCACATTTTCATAAAATATATCAATCAGCAAAAATAAAATCGGCAAAAAAGCATCCATGAAAACAACATTAAAAACATCAAACATAAATGATGCAGCATTCCCCGTATTAGAGGAAGAATCTAATATGCCAGATTTTTCAAATACAAATTGCCAGCTGCCTTTTAAAGTGGTATAGCCTGTAGCCTACAATACTACATGCTTTTTAGGGAACATTTGTGTATTTATTCATAGGAAGGTGATGTGTATTGATACCCAAATCATGAATTTCACAGAATTATATGAGTAGAATCATCCTGCTAGGATATTCTTCACCAACATTCATGAATTCATTCAGTAACAGTGGGGTTTAAAAATAAATAAATAAACAATGCATTTACTGTTATGTGGAGCAGATGCTCTATAAAATGGGTATAATTTACTGTGTCATTGGTGGGTGAAAAATGAAGTGAAACAAATAGAAAACATCCTACAATTTCCATTTATTTAAAATACTCTTCCAGGCATCGAGCAGAGCCATAATGATGCCTTTAAGCAGCTTTTGTTGTCATTGTGATCAGTTACCAATATGTCTGCTGAATCTAAATATAGTCATAATTCAACCTATTGAACTTAATGGGTATTACATTTATCATGACTAAAGTCTCATTGATTTTCCCATTGGAAGATGGCTGACAATGCCATCTCTCCAACCCACACGGGGTAATTAAGAGGCTGTTATGGGAGTAGGCAGCCTCCCTTGTTGCCCCAAGGAAATGGGGAACACTGCCCTTGCCTGCTGTGCCCATAAATCACCCCCTAATTTGAAAGAAGGGGGTGAGGGCACTAGGCAGAATGCCCCCGTGTGGACCTCGGCTCTCCTGGACGCTGTCTCTGATCGCGCACTAGCTGCAGCAATTTGGAATAATTAATTACAAAAGAAGCAAATGCACATATTTCAAGTGAAGAAAGGGAGTGAAGTCTGCTAATTTAAGTGACCTCTGCGAAAGAAGACGACGAGTTGGAGAAACAGGAATATTTTACGATGAAGATACACCAAAGGCTGGGTATGTTGACAACGGGACGGAATGGGGGGGGGGAACCTTTTTTACTTTCCTTCTATGTGATTTACAAGAACCCCTCCTCATTAGAATCGTTGGTTGAACTGACCTAAGCAGGATGATTAAGGTCTGTATGGAGATAAACTTTAACCAAAAGTATGCTTTATGGAGATCGAGAAGCAATAAGAGCTTTTGGAATGGCGCAGCAATTAATTCGGAATCGCCATCTTGCCAAAGGATTTATAGCCGGGAGGAAGAACGGACTTGTTTTCAGACTGCATTCCTGGTGAATCTCCTCAGAGGTTTTGAGAAAGGAGGCAGATTGGTGAAGATTAATGACGCTAAGACTGTTTTGATGTATGGAAGTGATGTTATATGGAAAACGTCTGGATATGGCTACTGGATAAAAAAAAAAAATCCACGGAGGATTACAAACTGTTCTAACCAGCTTGTGGAGACTATCAGAGGTCACAAAGAGAAAGGAAAAAGATATGAAAATAACAACAAGAGATGTGGAAAAACAATAAGAAAGGACTGGATAGTACTGTGAACATCATAAGGTTAGATTTGTGGACATTAAAACAGCAGCAAGAAGCAAGAAGTTGATTGGATCCCCTTCGGAACTTAAAATATGGGTACCCCCAACAAAAATTTAAAATTCGGCTATGTAATTTGGAATTTATGTAATTTGGTTTGATTTGATGTTATTGGTCGGTTAATAAAAAATTATTCTTAAAATAAAGTCCCATTGATTTCAGTGGTTCTTTTCTAAGTGTTACTAAGTAGGAAAATAATCAGGGAAACTTATTCCATAACAATATAGAAGTCTTGAAAATGATTTGCTATTCTATCACCAAGTGCTTCAGTATATAATACCACATGTCTAAATTACCAATGTGTATTACTATCTGGGTGGGGAAAGGGAATGGGATTTCTGAATTTTTATTGTTTTGTGCTTCAGCAATTTTATGAACCTAACAAAATATTGCACATAAGCTTTGGGGCATAGATTTAAGAGTTCAGCTGTACTGAGTTGGTTGAAATAAATAAATAAATGGGGGAAACCAACTCATTTGGCAATTTTGTACCTTAGCAGTGGTCCTGTAATACCCTAATCTACAAATTGATTCAACTGGTATGTTTGGATTGTTTCCAAGGCAGTCCTATTTAAATCAGTGGCATTTAACTTGCTTAGCTTTGTTGATTAAGAAGGCCTATGAGTATAGGTGACCATGCAAGTATACAATGGTATGTGTTCATTGGAAGCGTTGTTTAATGAAAAATGTTCATATTTCATGCTTTTCCTAAAAGCAAAAAGCAGCTAATCAAGTTTTCATGTGCCGCAATGTTATGCTTTCATAAGTCACATTTGTAATTTTAGGAGGTTTAAACCTGTGCAATTTCTTAAGTTTGCCATAAAATGGAAACCTGAAATAACAGGAAAAAATGGGATTGGTATGTAACGAAGTTAATTGTTAGACTACAATCATGTTTTCAACTTCAGTGGCTTATAAATCACTTTGGGGCATTATGTTTCAGAGTTTGCTGAATGGATTAATGTGCTACAAACCCGATGATCCAGTCGAATACCTGGAAGGTTGTTTACAAAAAGTGAAGGAGCTGGGAGGAGCAGAAAAAGTAAAATGGGACACTTTTGTCAGTCCAGAAAAAAGGACACTACCTTCACTGAATGGCAGCCAGTCAAGAAGATCCTTTTTGAGGAATGGTAAGATTTATTTATTTTTGTATCAATTTTATGTTTCAGCTTGGATTCAGGTGACAAGCTGAGTAGAATGGGTAAGCCACTCACTGTATGATTTGAAGATGGTAGTGATGTGGGCGCATTGAACATTTGTTTAATGCTTTATTAGCGCATTAATTAATTGTGATGTGGTCATGATTTGCTGCCTTGTGGCTTCTGTTAGTGATATGTGGCCACATTACATAAATGGGAACTACACCAAATATAAATCAATCAACAGCTGTAGAAGGATCCATCTTCATTTGAATTTTGATTCTAATAATCAAAATTCGGAATAATTCTTAATAATAATAATAATAATTCTGAATAATCTTTAATTAGATAAGGCTGTAATTCTATTCACTTATTTGGGACTAAGCCCCGTAAAACAGAGTGGGCCATATGAATAGGCAGGAGTGGTGAGCTGTGGCTTCCAGATGTTACTGGACTACAACTCCTATTATCCATGACCATTGTTCCATGTTCGCTAGGGCTAATGAGAGCTGGAGACCAGCAATACCTGGGTGGGGGATGGGGGGCAAGTGAGTGAGACCCATGATTTCTGTAGAAAAATATGCCAGGTTTGTTGGAATTCCAGTTGAATGGAGCAGTCTTTACAGCTGGAGGAGGGAAATAATTTTTCTTCCTATTTAGCAACTCCCTCGCAATGAAAAGACTTATGATCTGCTTATCTTCAGTTGACTGGCATTGACCAATCTGAGGAACTGTGGTGCTTTCTAAAGTTTGCTAAAGCTGTATAAAGAACAACTTATTTACGATGGGCAAAAATGCAGAAATTGGAATGCTCTGAAAAGCCTTACTAGTGCCAAACATAACAAACAAATACAAGCAAGTGTATTTTCTCAGAAATACCCAGTGCCTAGTCATCATATACAATAACCTGATTGGCATTGCTGATATAATTAATATGGATTAGTTAGAACACCCAGAAAGCTGGGTATAAATCAGCTTGGATTTTAAGCCATTCCAAAAATCAGACTGGGATAACATACAATGTCGATACACAAAGGATACATAGGGAAAGTACCTAATTATTTTGCTGTTGTAAATGTTCCTATAAAGCTACTAGAATTCTATGCAATTTCTTGCTGTAGTTTTTCCTAAGCAATTAAGGCATTTCATGCCTTGTATGTGTTAAAGGCAGTAATTAGATTAAAATGTACACATAATGTCTTAAAACAACAACTCTGGTATGATGTCTTAACATGAATTTAAAATCAGACTTACAAAATACAGTGGTACCTCGGGTTACATACCCTTCAGGTTACATATGCTTCAGGTTACAGACTCTGTAACCCAGAAATAGTGCTTCAGGTTAAGAACTTTGCTTCATTATGAGAACAGAAATCGTGCAGCAGCAGCGCAGCAGCAGGAGGCCCCATTAGCTAAAGTGGTACTTCAGGTTAAGAACAGTTTCAGGTTAAGAACAGACCTCCGGAATGAATTAAGTACTTAACCCAAGGTACAACTGTAACTATAATAAATTTATCAGCCTGCATGGGTTTTAAATCTGCCCACCTGCCTATATATGCTACATGTGATTCAACAGCTTAAATAATGGGATTTGGCAAGCTGCTTACCCAAGATGAATTGTTACTTGCTGTAGACCAATTTGCAAGGCATATCTTTAAAAGTTTCATATAGACAGCATCTTATTTACTAAACATAACTGGAAGAATGTATTGCCTTAATGTATCAGTTGCTTGAAGTCCATTTAGGAAGCTCAAAATAGCAGGGAATTAATTTGCAGGAAACCACTCACTCTCAGGGGCTTACTTCAAGCACAGAGTTGCTTAGTTTTAAACTTTGTGATGTCCAGTAAAAATTGCAACCTGTAGCTTCATTTGCTTTACTGTCTCTTCAGTATGGAAGCTTTGTTTTATCCCTAGAGAGAACTCTATCCCTATTTCCTTAGGAAGCCATGGCAGTTTGCTTAGCTTTGATAAACCATCTGTGATTGTCATTTAATCTCCATTTGTCTGCTGGATTTGCAGAACACAGCAAACCAGGTATTGGAAGACCGCAGCGAAATATTTGACTAGTTGTTTCACATTGTGTGGCATTTGTCAGTTCTTCAGTCTCTGGCAATATGTAGCTCATCTTTCTGACCATTCTACAATGTGCTTTAAATTTACGGCGTGCGTGTACATGGCCTTTCTTCCACTTTTCCTGGCTTCCTCCTTTCCCTCTGTTCATCTCTCAGGGCCTCTCCTCATAGTCTAATTTTCTTTGCTCAGGAACAAAGAAAATTTTCCTTGCTCAGACTGAAGCCATGGAGATCCTGCTGTCAGTGTGGGCGACACTGAGCTAAGTGGACCAGGGGGGTCTGACTCAGTATAAGCTACCTCCCTGTCTTTCTTTGTCGCCATCTTTGGGCCCCTCCTGAAGCCCACACCTCAGCAGGGAGCCCACTGCCAATGTCTGGCCTCCCCAGGCCAGCTTCTGTGGCTCCTTTGCAGCCTCTGCGTGTCTATATACCTCCTCTAAGCAAGAAAGCTACAACAAGGAAAAGGAGCAAGACTCTCTGCTCATCTTGCACACTCTCTGTGAATTGGGGCCTAAGCGAGAGGCTGAGCCAATAGGCCGCAATGGCAGCAGCGAGGAAGACTGTGGCCCACTCGGGGCCTCTTGTCCGATGGCTTCTCAAAACCACCTCCTGGAACTGCCTGCCTCCATCGGCTTCTTTTGGCCTGCTGGCTGCTTATTCTTCTGACACCTGTTTTGCTAGGCCCATGTTATTTTACGCTTCTTTTCCCTAGGCCAGGAAGCCTGCCTTGTTTCTCTTTCTACTGTTGCGGCAGATTGGCCTAGAGTAGCTTCCAAGAGGAATGTTCTGTTTCATGGTTTGATTTGCTGGGAAGCAGGTTTTTTTAAAAAATTAAACTGATAATTGTTTCAAGTACTACAACGTAACGGTTTGCCGTGAGGCATTTTTATATTCCAGCCGCAACCAGCTGGAACTGGTTCTGTGAGGAAAACGTAAAAAGTGGTATTTTACTCAGAGTAGCCCTGTTGGCGTCGGCGGACCTAACTTAATCACGTCCATTAATTTCACTGGCTCTGATTAAAAAATTAGTTGAATCCCACCCAAAGTTTTCTTAAAGGGACAATTTACTTTTCTAACAGCTTGAATGACATGCCGTGCCTGCCTGTGAGATGTTAGAGCAGCCAGTGGCTTTACTGCCACTGCATACATTACTGCATTCCACTACAGTGATACCTCAGGTTAAGTACTTAATTGGTTCCGGAGGCCCGTACTTAACCTGAAACTGTTCTTAACCTGAAGCACCACTTTAGCGAATGGGGCCTCCTGCTGCTGCTGCACCGCCGGAGCACGATTTCTGTTCTCATCCTGAAGCAAAGTTCTTAACCTGAAGCACTATTTCTGGGTTAGCGGAGTCTGTAACCTGAAGCGTATGTAACCCGAGGTACCACTGTACAGATGGATTGAAAACATTACCTGACTGTATAAAAATAAGAAGCCCCTCATTATTATTTTTAATTATTTTTTAGGCAGCCAGAATTTCATGCCAACAGTTGTGTTGTTAAAATATTCCTGATCTTCATTATTGGTAAATGTAAGAAGAGTTCTGGTTTTCATATTTCCTTTTTCTTTTCTTTCTTTCTTTTTACTATTATGAAGTGCTCCCAGACAATCCCAACTTTCCTTACCGGCGGTATGAGCGACTTCCTCCAATCCACCAGTTTTCCATAGAGAGTGACACGGATCTCTCAGAAACAGCCGAACTTATTGAAGAATATGAGGTATTTGATCCTGCAAGATCTCGGCCTAAGATCATCCTTGTCATAGGTAAGAAGGCAAGGAGAACGAATAGTTTTCTTGGATTAAGTGTGGCTTTTTAAAAAACCTGTTTAGCCAATGTATTAACTGCTCGAAATGGGTATCAATTCATAGGGTAATTTTGGAGGATGAGGGTTAAGTGATGTAGGCAAATTGATTGACCGGCATAAACAAAGAATTGTTTGGAAAACCATATTCAGCAAGTTGCCCAAATGTCGAAGTGTTTTGTTATTAGTGCCAGGGACTGCCAGATGCAATAGGCAGAAGTGGCAGTGCCTCCAGCGTCTCCAGAATAACCAAAAAGCCTATAAATAGGAGAAACTATCAGACTTCATATCCAAACCTTTGGGATACCAGGGATTGTTACACCCTATGTGCTTCCTAATAGCACGCCTCTTTCTCATGTTCCATACAGAATGGGCTGTTTCACTTTTATTTGGTAGGGGACAAGGCTGCAACTGGGAAAACCCTTCACCAAATATGGGGGACAGTGTGCCATCCCTCCCTCCGCAAGGTTTCACCAATTTTAAACCTTTCCCTTTGAAAAGAGAAGGGAGCAAGTGGCCTAACTGGAGAGCAAGCAAGGGAGACACAGCTGGACTGGCAACTTTGAAAAGCAGCGACATTGACAAGAAAATTTTTCCTGGTCTCCACTGATGGGAGAAGCCTTTGTTTTGATTGCCATTCTTAAGGGTTCTGTTTTCATCAGAAAGAGTTCTTAGCTCTCCTTAGCTCAGTGGTTTTCAACCAGTGTGCCGTGGCACCCTTGGGTGCCTTGAATGATAGAGGTGCTGCAGGCAACACTGGCCTCTGTCCCTCTTTCCTTCCCTTCCTCATCGGATGCCCTCTTGCATCTCTGCCTCCCAAAGGCATCCACAGCTGTTTGTTGCAGCAGCCCGACTAGAAGGTCCCCAGGTGAATGGGGGCCTCTGGTGCTGGCCAGGGGGAGCTTCCCAGCCCCCCATGGGGCAGTGTGAGGAGGCACCTCTCTTTGGGGCAAGGGGGTGCAGCTCAGATACCAGAGGTGGCAGCAGCGGCTGCCCGGAGGACTCCCAAGGAGAGGGATAGGAGAGCAGGCTGAGGGAACACTTTACAAGGTGTTCAAAAAAGGGTGAGATGCTGCCAGCTGTGCCGGAAAGAGGTGACATAACTGGGCTCCTGAGCCCCACAGGGGTGTCACAGAAAGAATGCAGTTGGTCAAGGGAGCCGTGGACTCAAAAAGGTTGAAAACCTCTGCTTTAAGTGTTAAAAGAGCAGCATATTTAACCCTTTCCCGAGGCTGCAGCTCAGTGTTAGTTGCTAAGAGGAGGATGAGGGATCCCCATGACAGGTGCTTGAACAACACATTTAACTTAATAGCAGTGTAGAGTGGCTTTGCTTACCTGACTTTCCAGTGTCAAGTGTCTCCACCAGATGCTGAGACTGGGAGGGATGAGGGGGCAGATGCATTGGATTGGCTCCACTGCCACACCTGTACAATGCTCCCCTCTGTCTCACCCTTCTCCCTATCTGCAGGTGATGTGCAATGTCAGGAAATGCCACCCTCCCTAGTAGCTTCTGATTTAACCCTTGGTTATAGCAGTCAGGGAAAGAAAGAAAGGGATTCCCATGACTATTGCTTGGGTAGTGCATTTAATTCCCATGGCTGCGGTTCAATTGAAATCACACATTTCGTGCACTTTCCCACACTTAACAAGTTTTTTCTCTGTGGAACCCCTTGGGCTGCATTGTGGCACTCCAGGGTTCCATTGGACCGCAGTCTGAGAAATCTCCTAGTGTGCAGCTAGTTAGCAATTTGGAGAATGTTACATTCCACATCTTTGGGAAAGATTTTGGCAGACTGGCACAGGTGGTGCGTAGTTCGTAATGAATCTGAGAAAATATAATTTCCTTTTTTCTTATAAATAATAGGTGGCCCGGGAAGTGGAAAGGGAACCCAGAGTCTGAAAATAGCTGAACGCTATGGATTTGAGTACATATCTGTTGGTGAATTGTTAAGAAAGAAGATCCACAACACAAGTAGTAATCGAAAGTGGAGCCTGATTGCCAAGATAATTACCACTGGAGAGTTAGCCCCACAGGTATAAACATGGCAATGGCACATTACTTGCTGTGGCAAGATTTTTGTATGCATTCTTAATATATACTATTAACAAACTAATAAACCTTCTTGTGCTTGTTTTTCACACTGCAAGGAAACAACCATCACTGAGATAAAGCAGAGATTAATGCAGATTCCTGATGAAGAGGGTATTGTTATTGATGGATTTCCAAGAGATGTTGCTCAGGCTCTTTCCTTTGAGGACCAAGTAAGATATTTGTTATTCAAGACAACTTAACAAGTTTAAAGAAAAATATGATAAGCTCTTTTTGTTAAGAAGCTGAATGCCAGAAAGACTAAATATTACTCTTTTCAGATCAGTAGGCATTGCCCCAAATTCTTTGTAAATGCTTGATTATATGCAGATCAAAGGTTGTTTTCTTGACGTACATTTTGGGGTATCATGATCCCATGCTCTTCAAAACAACCAGAATTCTGTCATGTATCGAACAATGACAGCACTTTCTTTCCTATATAATTAAATGGCTCCAAAGGGAAGAAAAACATCCTATTTAACAAATCGTATTTTTCATACATTCCTGATTTTAAAAGCAAAGAGAAAAGGTTATTCCTTAATGGCACATTTTCAGTGCTCATTAGGAAGAGCACAATTTCATCAGCATATTTTTTTCACACAGAGAGGCAGCCTCAAGGTTATTATGGGCTTCTGAACTAGAATACAGCATTCATACAATAGCTTTTGTAAGACAAACGTGTTAGGTAATAGTACACCTTTTATTGAATTAGCTTTTTGTGTGATCTCAAATTTTGCTTTAACTCAGTTTACTTTGCTATTAAATTTTTATTGTGCTTGAAAAAGATGTCTTGTGAAACTTGCCTGTCTTATCACTTAAGATGCCGATTAATAGTTATTGAAAGTGATTTGTACTGCAGGACATATTGACTAGAGAACATCTTTGTACAAGCTGCTTTTGCAGGGAAAATGACTAATTCATGTGTAGAACAGATTCTTCAGAGTTTGTCCTTATTTTGAGCTCATCGGGATTCAATTCTGACATTTCACATTCTTGACCAAAAGCTACCCCAAAATACATTTTGAGAAATACAGTTGTTTAGTAGGATGCTTCATTAATTTATATGAAAGCAAGCCAAGTGATGAAAATCCTGTGTTTTGAATTGATTTCACATTGCCAGATACGGAAACAACCAATATGACGTTTGGTTAAAGACACAAGCAAAGGTTACATTTCAAAAGTGCATTGTCTGGGAGTTTTACCAAATTCTGACTAACCTCTGGAATGAGAAAATACAATTGCTCCAGAGCACCCTCTCCTACTTATGATGGCTAGACCAACAGTGCAGGAATACTTGTGATGAGTCAGATGGAACATAGATTAGAACTCATCTTATGAACCACACCATAGCAGCAATGGTGCTTTGGCACCATTGTGTCCATGCAGAATTGGTTAGCAGACCTGTTCTGAGTGGCAATGGGCATTCTACACTTTGCTCCTTGTATTAAAGTGGAAGATCTTTCAGTGGCCCACTGTGATGAATTTGCAAAGCACTTTGGTGAAACAAGTGATTGTGTCTGTTTTGAACTGGATTTCATGTTGAACGTACCTTTCAAAGCTGCTTGCCGGCTGTTATCAATAGCTTTTACTTTGTGAAGTCCTAGAGATGTTGACAAAATCATAGAAGATGTAAGGCCCATCACTTTTGAGCTTGATGGTTGCCATGCTGGGTGGGATTAGGGTGACCAGAGACTCTGCTAACTTCCCGGAAGGCCTCAGATGTGGTGCTTGATTATTTATGTTGAACATACAGTATTGGTTTTTCAATGTATGGTGCTCCACAAGGTTCCATCTTATACTTTATTCTATTTAACATCTATATAAAAGCGCTGGAAGAAGGTATTTGGATTATATTTGTTTTCGAGGATTGCTTTGTTTGAAAGTTAAGTTATGAAAATCATTGGTGAGGAGGTTGCGTGTTTTGGTCTCCTTGCCCTTTTGCTAAAGTTGAGGATGTCCTTAACTCATCTATCTGCTTAGCTGTTTGTCTCAGTAATTTGTCACTCAGACTGAGACACCTCCCCTCAGCTTCCTCATGTTCATAGATCCCAGTCAGACATGACTTTTTTGAAAGGCACCTATGCAATCAACCTTACTCTTGTAATGTAGGTGCAGCATAGTCTTCAACAGCAATTCATTTATTAAACAAACAAACAAACAAACAAACAAACAAACAAACAAACAAACCACTTGATTTTTAAAAATCTCCATAAAGTGTCCAGGTAAAAGCATAGAAGACATGTCCAAAGCTATGTCAATTAAAAACAAACTTACATTGAATAATCATACCTAAATACAAATATAAAATCTGTAAAGCATTAAAACAAATATAAATAAGTGCTGTTTTTATTTTATTAATGGTAGTGCCATGGATAAGTGGTGCACAAATAAACAGTAAAAATGAATCATAATAAACTGAAACAGAAATAGGCTGGCATCATAAAAATAAATATCATAGATCTAAACAGGCAGCAGAAAGCAAAATAAAGCATTTTATGTTCCCCATGTATGTTATTATGTGACACACAATGCTTCTGTAATATCTATAGAGCACCTAAGCAGCTAGTTAATTGAAAAAGACCTTTGGATTCTTGGAACAGTTTTGATTAACATATAATTTCTCAAATACTGAATTTTGATTTGCCCTTTCTTCAAAAGCATTAGGTAAACAAACACTTACTTCTCCAGCATAACACATTTCAGATAGTTAGCAAATATTAGGAAGCTTTTTAAATTCGAAATGCATGTTGGAAAATGCTGAGAAAGAGGTCTGGCTTAACATTTACCTGTCATCCAAGCTGAAAGTCAGTGAATCACCTGCAAGACTAGCATATTAAATACCATCCTCTGCTCCAGTGAGGCCCCCTTCAATGTCAGCCAAGCATTCTCAAGCGGATGTGGGCTGACTATAGTTTAATAGCACTTTTCTTCAAATATTCCTACTCAATTCCCCCCCCCCCCATTCCTGTGTTACATTCATCCATTGGAACGAATGTAAAAGTCTGTATATCATAATGGGCTTGAATTTATTTACTGCTGCTATAGTTATCTTATATAAATGTGAGTGCAAAGGACAGAGGGCCTATTGTAAACCAAACAGCAGCAGTTACTTATAAAATGATAAATTTTAGGGCTAATAAGGAGAAATAAACAATCTGTTGCCCAGTTTTCTAGGCAACACTGTAATAGAAAATATTGACAAAACCACAAGCCAGAGCATACTCCAATCTCCTAGTTCAGCTCCCTGAGGAGAGGCAAGCTGCTTTGACCACTCTAACATATCATCTCACATCATTTTTATTACCTTCCCACTTCTATGAACACATGGAGTTTCTATATCAGCAACTTTCCCTGTTCACCTCAATGACATAAGACAGCTGCAAGCTTATATTCTTTAATGCATGTAGACTGCTCTATTCACTGTAGTGAACAAGGAAATCTTAGTAGGCAGTTTTTACCACAACCCCACACAGGGCATATGTCTGCATGAGTGGGAATGAGCAGAGTTTTCCCCATGCCATATATCCTGTTGGGGCAAGACTCTGTATTTACAATAAAATGAATACCAGTTATGTAGGCAAACTACAGGGGAAGTCATGGCTTCTTATATTTATTCAAGACAGCTATCAGCCTCTCTCTTCCCTGTTGGCAACTAATCAGAGAATTTAATATTCCATGTCTGGATGGATTCACAAATTCATATCAACTGATTTATCAGTTGATGACTGCAGTATCAAGTCTTGACTTCCAGGCAGGAAAGATCTAACATAGATCAAGCATCCTAGATATGAACGTAAGAGTTGTCCTGGATCAGATCAGTGGCCATCAGGTCCAGCACTTTGTTCCCAAACTGGCCAACCAAATATCTGTGGGACCCTCACAATCAGGGCATGAGTGTAGTAGCGCTCCACCACTAATGATCCCCAACAACTGGTATTCACAGGCATATTGCCTCTGATATTTGAGACAACATGTAGCCATCATGACTAGTAGTCATTGGCTGCCTTCTCTTCCATGACCTTTCATATGATCTCACACCATCTCCATTAATCATTTTCAGTGGAAATATTAACATATTCAGCTCACAGTTAACAAGTGCAGAGTAATCAAATCCAGCGATGTATATGCAAAGATGAACTGATCCAGTTTGTTTGTAAGATAAACCAGAATGTCCACTTTGAGGATGGATTGTCATTTTATTCCCCCACATTTTATTAGTGGATATTATTTTTCTGGTCTGAATAGGAGTAGTAGTAGTTTCCTGAGTAGGAGTAGTTTCGTTAAAATGTATTTATTATGCATTAATGACATTTATATACCACCCAGTAATTCTCTTGGTGGCTTATAATGAAGATTCTCTGAGTTGCTTACATTAAGGGCTGTGGGCTATCCACCTGTTTCTAAATTCCTCATCCAGCTTTGAAACCAGTGGGAGTTTTAAAGTTTAACTAATTAGAAGTAATTGGTTGCACATAGAACATATAACTTACATAATTGCTAAGTATCACTACAATAAGCAATTAGGAGGAGCTTGGAAGCTTCTGTCTCCATGTTTTATTAAGCATAGTTTAGCACTATGTCTAAAACACTAAGTAGTGGTTCATCTTAACTAAGGTTTATTGAAGGAAGACAGAACCATGGTTTGAAGTTGGCTTGTTTAAAGCATGGCTAAGACTATCCACAGTTTATCCTGCTTTGGGTGCAGGACTAAATTTTGATTAATCAAAAACTGAAGCAAACACTTCTGAATTCTTCCAACCATGCTCAAGGCTCAAGGTTTAGCACAAGCATAGACAAATCCGGCTCTCCAGATGTTTTGGGACTACAACTCCCATCATTCCTAGTTAACAGGACCAGCAGTCAGGGATGATGGGAGTTGTAGTCCCAAAACATCTGGAGGGCCAAGTTTGCCTATGCCTCATTTAGCAAGTCTCCCACTGTGGATCATATTGTAAACATGTAGAAGCTCCAACAGCTATAGTTATCCCTTTCATTGTTTTAGCTGTTCATTCTTTGGATTGTCATTTGATTCACCAAAGGAAAATGTCACCAGTTTGAAATACTGAAGACATTAAGCTTATTTTAAAACGAAACAGTGACTAAGAAGGGCTTTATATATATATGGAGGGAAAAGTGATTCAGTGGTGCATTGAATGGTAACCTGTGCTGTGTG